ACTTCCTTGATTTGTCTGAAGAAGATCATGTCTGATGCGTCTTCCTGATGAGATGGTTTGTGTTGATGTGCCATTTTAGGTATAGTTGCCTAAGAATTGTAAGTAGTCTTATGGCAATTTATTGGCTGTTGGTGGAGGCAGGGAACATGAGGTCTGTAAGTGCCTGAAGAATAAAGTGACCTCAAAAAGGTCATTCATAGCTTATTGTTAGCACATCAGATGATTGCTTTATCCATTTCTAGCTGGTATTGTATTTTATTTTCAGGAACTGTGCTGTAGAGTTGTATATGACTGAAATCTTATATCACAGCATGAGTAATTTTATATCACAGTATCCATTTATGCAATATGGTTCAAAGGTTTGTGGTCAATACTTATCACCGAAAATAAATATCACCAAGACTGAATTTATTTGATCAAAAATACAGTAAAAATTATTTTTTGAAAAAATGTATCTTTTCTGTGATGGCCAAGTTTTATTTTCAGCAGTCATTACTAGGGCTGTCGCGATAACCGCAATATCGCAATACCGCGCTATTGACGAGCAAACCGCAGAGGAATGCAAGAACCGCAGCAACCGCGATTTTTGTGTGTTTTCTTTTTTCGTAAGGTTATGCCCTTCTCATTTTACACTTCATGCATGTGGACTGAATATTAAAAGTTAGTAACGATAACTTAATGTGTACCATGCTGATTTGGACAGAGGCTCCGTAGATTTGCACTTAACAAGCCTAAACAGACAGAGAATGAGAGAGAGATCGACTGAGCGCGTGCGATTACTTGCGTCTGTCCTCCAGGCCGAGTCATATATATTTGTGAAAATAGGTTGTCATGTCCAAGGAAAGCGAAATCTCTGTCTTAGCATTGACGCATAGCTGGTCAGCTGAGCCTTCTAAAGTGGCGCTCAAAGTTAAAATGATTTCAACAGCGTGTATATATACATATATATATATATACATATATGTGTGCATGTATGGCGATAATACTGCATACCGTGCTATTGAGCCACTCAAAATTACTGCTAGGGAAATTTCCTCACCGCGACAGCCCTAGTCATTACTCCAGTCTTCAGTGTGACATGATCCTTCAGAAATCATTATAATATGCTGTTTTGCTGGTCAAGAAACATTACTTATTATTATCATTGTGTAAAACAGTTGTGCTGTTTAATATTTCTGTGGACATTTTTAAATAAAAGTATTAAAGTGCCCTTATGCCTTTTCGAATATTACCTTTCATGCAGTGTGTCATGTAGCTGTATGTGAACATAAACTATCTGCAAAGTTGTGAAGCCGACAGTGCATGATAAATAAAGTTATTGTCTGCTCACATTTGCATAATGTCTGTCCACGTTCTACGTCGCCAACATGCCCACCCACAAACAGTAAAATATCCGTGTGGTTAACATCATGTCGAGAAGACGCTTTATCCTACGCTATGAGAGTAAATTTGTTTTATCACATCTTATCACTCAAAATTACTGCTAGGGAAATTTCCTCACCGCAGCCCTAGTCATTACTCCAGTCTTCAGTGTGACATGATCCTTCAGAAATCATTATAATATGCTGTTTTGCTGGTCAAGAAACATTACTTATTATTATCATTGTGTAAAACAGTTGTGCTGTTTAATATTTCTGTGGACATTTTTAAATAAAAGTATTAAAGTGCCCTTATGCCTTTTCGAATATTACCTTTCATGCAGTGTGTCATGTAGCTGTATGTGAACATAAACTATCTGCAAAGTTGTGAAGCCGACAGTGCATGATAAATAAAGTTATTGTCTGCTCACATTTGCATAATGTCTGTCCACGTTCTACGTCGCCAACATGCCCACCCACAAACAGTAAAATATCCGTGTGGTTAACATCATGTCGAGAAGACGCTTTATCCTACGCTATGAGAGTAAATTTGTTTTATCACATCTTATAATTACCACAAACTTGTTAACACTTGACACTTACCACTGAGAAACGTCCTGCTCCAGTCGTGCTTGCGAATCAGTCTCTTGTCGATCAGCCAGTTCTACCGTTTCATCATCAGACTCCGGCTCGAATTGGTAAGGTACAAACGATACCATCTTTTCTATGCATTGACAAGTCTCCAGGGCTGTCATTCCATCATGGCAATGGGCGTTTCGTTTCCGACACG